CGATTAGTTGTCTGGAAAACAAAAAGGGTAAAGATGACGTGTATGTCGGCCCAAACAGGGCGCGGGATTAAGAACGATCCGCCCACGATGAAATCCAGAAAGGATAAGTATTCCTGTATTCTAACTCTAACATAAAATTAAACTCTTACCCTTATCTTAATCCCAGCCCTACCCTAAACCTATATCATACAGTTCGCATGAACGCAAACCTTAACCCTAAATGTAATCCTGACCCTAAGCTAGACTTTAGCCTTAAATCAAACCTAACCCTAAACTCCACTTTACCTCTCATCTTAGTCCTAAAACTATCTTTCCCGGAATTCGGCGCAAACGCACGTGCATTGTGGGCGGTTCCTGTTCCCGTGTCCTGTCTGGGCGGCCATAAAAGTCAGGCTTACACATAAAAGAACCGTATAAAAAGACATCTTATTGAAGAACGAAAATTTGCTATGTTTCAATGTTCAATCGACACAATTGTGAAAAATTCGGCTGCCTTAATGAGATTCTAAGCCAGGCCAGCAAGGGAATGCTTGAGTACATCCAACGCTCTAGCCAAGTGCACTATTAAAGGCTGGGTGCATTCTTTGGTTTGTATTTACATTTGGAAGACCTGCATCAATCAAAGCCCAAAGCAAAGTTTTATTGCTTCAAGCGCTTAGACGACGATTGCAGGAATCTCTTAATGCGTACTTACCCTGTTGGTCCAGTTTTTTTACTTTCATTTCAGTCATAATCTCGAAGAAAAACCGCACATTTGGTGCTCCGGAATCCCAGTAGGTGAACGGCTTTAACGTTTATCGTCTCTCCTGAGTCGTTCACAGACTGCCCGTTTAATTCAAAATAAAGAGGTCTACAATAGTGTAACAACTGGCGCAAGGCATTTTAGTCCAGCTTGCGGGGCTAACTTTTCTGATGCCCTCTTATATTAATTTGTAAACTTCGTGGGAAGTATAAGAACAGTTGGCAATGTCGGACCGCTATCTGGGAAGAAACCGTTGTAGGTTTTCGAACACAATTGGCTAAATGAGTCTTGAGTAACCATAAGACAGAAAGAACTTTAATGCTTAGTCAGCAGTCTTTTCAAATACTCCCGTGACCGGATGATTCTCAGTTTACTTGTTCGAGTTCGTCAATGCTCCTCACAAGATAATCAAGGCAACATTCTCATATGCTGAGGCACTTAGATACCGCTAGCCCTGTCATTGTGGCTTGCGGGAGCAGTGTCTAAACTCGCGCGTGTTTCGAATTTGACCTCCATTTTCGACCTCCGAGGAAATTAAACTTCTTTGTGATTTAGGACTACTGGATGTTTTTGCAGCCTGTTTGTATTAAGAATATAACTCGACTGTCCAATATCATCCCCCTCAGTCATCTTCAACAGGACTTAGCTAAATCCTGCAAAATCTCGGACCCTTCGAATGTGGACAATCGTCGCTTCTGCTGATTACTGGTGTTAGTTCCGGCTGAGCAAGTTGGAAATTCTCCAAGTCCTTTCTCCAGTGAAAATTCTGTTCTACCTTCCTTGGTTGTTTTCTTCTTACGAAGACTGTCCCCTTCCTCCCTCCCCTCGAATGCTGGCCACCCTCCCGTGTTTACCCTTTTAATCGATGGCATATGACTGAATACGGCCCCCAGTCTCCCCCCTGTTCGGATCCCGCGCTTGTTATCTCTTTTCCCCCGCTGACGCCAGATGCAGTCGTTTCGAATCCCGGAGATTAAACTTTCTGAAGTCACTTTGTAGTGGAGAGCCAGCTGTCCGTCTTCCTCCCCTTTTCTTGACCTGGTTAATCCGAGAAGCATTCGTCCACCATCCTCGCGCGGGCACACAGCGCGCAAGATAGACGTGGCCGTCGAAGGGTCCCTTCGACACCTCCCGCCGCTGACACTTTCTTATTGCCTCTGTTTACGAACCCTCCCTTTTTCGCGCTAGTGTTTCAGACCAATCCTGAGGACATATGAATGGCCTCCTGAAATCATATAAAAGCAGATCCACGCCCCTCTCCCACTAACACACACAAGCTTTCGCAAGACTAGTTTCGCCCTGCATGGCGTTCTTGTTGTATTTGTGTTTTTTCCTTGTATAGAGTCAGGCGATTTGGTCGACTCCCTTCACGCTTGACTTTGAGTATCCATTGTTGAGGTTTGTACATTGTTTATCTTTTACTATTTTGCTTAATAGTACCCTGCTGCCTTGATAGTTGCTATCATTGGTTTTGACATACGCGCGACTGCTGGATACAGATTCGGAGAAATCAAGAAGATGAAACGACTAGACGAAGAAGTCCATTCCACCATCAGCATCGCAGGTTAAACTTCTGCAAAGGCTGAGTCAATTTTCATGACATAGAAATTCGCTGTATTTTCGTCTCAAAGTACTCATCTAAGTTTATGCA